CGCGCTCGAGCCCACGTACGAGCGCGTGAAAATTTTGGCGCGGAAATCACTGACCCAGGAAGGAAAAAAGCTAGAAAGCTGAAACTTTAGGGTTATGTTCCCCATCTATGTATGACCAAAAAATTTTAGATCCAGCTCCTTAAAACCGTCTTGTACTCACGCAAGGACACGTGAAAATTTTGATGGGAAAACTGCTAACTCGGAAACGGGAAAAGCTGGAGGCTTTAATTTAAAGGGCACATGAAAATTTTGATGGGAAAACTGCTAACTCGGGAACGGGAAAAGCTGGAGGCTTCAATTTTAAGGGTATGTTCCCCGTTCATGTGCGACTAAAAAGTTTTAAATTTAACACTTCTAGCGTGGCCTTTTTTTGTGGACCAGCAACTTTCCATTTGTCGGGCACTGAAGTCGACGCCTACAACTGACATACCACATAGTTGCACAATTAACTTCACGAACTTCGAGCGCGAGTATTTCACAGGGTTAGCTACATTGACTCTTTGCGATCTTGCCACGGTACGGAAAGTGCAAAAATGCATAATCGCACCGGCCCGCCTGGTGCGTTCTAGCCCGGGTTTTTTGACTACTCCAACCACACGTAGCATGCTTTTTAGAGCATGCATCACATGCTCGGTCAAAAGACCATCTTTTCCATAATTCTATAATGCCAGTTTATCGATTATGATTCCATAGTTCTCAAACATCTTGTCAAATTTATTATTGCATAACAACTTGTATCCCCTCTCAATTAGGCCTACTTGCTGCTCAACCTAGCAAACTCATTTTGACCTTAGCTGTTTTTTCATGACCTATAGAAAATTGCCGCTTAGATGATTGCTATCAGATCCTGGCAGGCTTAGTGGCTATAAAAGGATGGGTTCTTCAGTAATTCTCAGTTCATTCAATACAACTCGGCCGCTCGTCATCCTACGTATCGGCATCGTATTTACGTCGCCCCTTTTCACCGTCATTGCCTTAACGTCGCTTCCATCAGTAAAACACGCTGGCAACACCATTCTTTACGGTATTTTTTTTTCGACACTTTATTGTTCTGCACGTTTTCATGTTATTAGCTAGGTGATTCTTAGTACTGTCCGTTACAACTAAGTTTTTCCCATTATGCCCCTATGGGTCCTAACTATGCAACTTTCCACACTCGCTTCAACCTATGTCAAAGGCCCGCTCGCTCTTTACATGTATTGGGGACTTTCCCGCTCGTAACAACATATGCCGCATTATATGTCAGGTATATTTCCTTACATGCGCTTATACCACTTTTTATGCGTTTTTGTTGTGCAGCGCTATAGCGCTGCTACAGTTAGCAAAAACGCATATTGTCGAGAGGCTGTGTGTGTGTGTGTGTGTGTGTGTGTGTGTGTGTGTGT